CAAACAACATCGCCCTCAAGTTGAAACTTTCTTTCCTATAACCATCATAAACCTCCACACCGTTCTCCCACAAAATCTTCAAATCTTCGATTAATGGTTCCAAGTATACGTCTATGTCATTTCCTGGTTGTTTAGGCCCAGAAATTAACATAGACAGCATCATGTACTTACGCTTCATACATAGCCATGGAGGTAGGTTATAAATCATAAGAATCACAGGCCATGTGCTATGCGAGATACTTTGAATACCGTGTGGGTTCATTCCATCAGTAGACAATGCCAAGCGAAGGTTTCTTGCTTCTTTTCCAAATTCAGGATAATCATTATCAATTTTCATCCACTGTGGAGAATCTGCCGGATGTCGAAATTTTCCATCAATAATTCTTTCATCTGAATGCCAAGTCAAGTGTCTTGATTCGGTTTCAATACGATACATCCGTCTAAATCTCGGGATTATAGGAAAATACCATAAGACTTTTGCCAGAGACAACTTTTTCTTATATCAAGGGGCATCGCATTTAGGACACTCATTTAACGATGCATACTCGTTTCGAAACAAAACGCAATCTTTTGGACACGCATGTATCTTATCATAGCTCATGCCAATGGAGTACAACATCTTTTTGGCCTCATACGTTCGATTGGGAAGAACATTATCCTCTGGTAGCATATCTTTCATAAGGGCTAATAACTCTGTGAAACTTTTATCCGACCATCCATTGCCGGCTTTTAAGTTGTACAACTTTAACACCGCAGACAATCTTGTGAATTTTGTACAACCATTATACAACGGTTTCTCTGCATCGCTTACCAACCTCTCGAACATTTTGGGACAATCGTTAAGATCTTCTTCAAGCGCTTCTGCAATTTCTTCGACTCGATCATAATCGTATGTATCTGTGCAATCATCATTTGAAACATAGGTCCTTGCATACCCCGATTCAACATTCCCGTTACTTTTCTCACCATGCATATTCCAACATGTATAACTCCTATCAATTCCATACCGAATTAAATGCGATGCCAACTGAACTGCGTCAACCCGGTTCCCATAACAGCAATACAAACAGGGACATGTCATACGACTGGGGTCTTTGGCGTGCGCAACAGCAAACTTAACAAACTCGGAAACACCATTCTCGTAGTCTTTCGATAATCGATTGGAATACATCCATGTCTTATCCATATCAACTAATTAGTGCACAAAACAGTATTATACTGCGTTTCTGTCAAAACGCAATGTATACACGGAATGAATCCGTATCAAGAAAATGCAACATACGAAAGACAATTTAAGACAAATTCATCACAATATATACCAGTAATTTGAGGAAGAAAGTTACCTCTCAGATGTTTCGAACTCTAAGAAACGCGGAGAATGAGCGTCGTACGTCGAACTAGGCCGGGAAATGCTGCAATTTCATAGAATGTTATTCAATATTTCGGATCGATTGTCGAAAGATATATACTATTTTAACATAAAGGTTCACAATAAATGTCACATATATATTTTCAATGTTTGGGAAAGCTATGACAATAATACAACACAAATATTAGAAATAGTGAATTCACAAAGTCAACATAAACCCACAAATATAATCCAAAACACAAACCATTTCAATGTTACCACCAAAATTATGTAGCATGCACCCGGAGAAATAAAACATAAGAAACACATAAGAATCCAAACATATACTAACAGCATTATCTATCCCTAGAAATACTAATTAGTTTAAATTTTTAACAAAAGAGTTACTAATTAGTTACTTGTAATTTTGTTCCATTGTTTTGCATGAAAAAGAGACAAAATTGGAGAAGGAAAGAATCAAAGGTTACGTTCACTTGACGCATAGATCAGTAAAGGAGATTAAGTATGAAGCTGATCTAGACACTTGTCAGAAATTGTCATGACTTGTTATAACTCAGAAACTGTCTAGACACTTAAGTGGTGATTTTATCTCAAAACCTAAGCTACCCCCATCCCCGAACACCATGACTGATCCTAATCAGATCATGGAACGTATCCTAGAAAATCTTGACAATCCTTAATAACACACCATTTCTTCAACCAGTCCCAATTCAACCTCATCCTCAAGCTTTGACTCTTCACAATTAGAGCATTTACCTATTCATTCTAAAACTCTCCAAGAAATTCCTCCTAAAATCTTTTAATCTAAAATTAAACATCAACCTAATCTTGTTTAGTCTTAGTATGAAGTTCAACCTTCGTCTTTACTTCATACTAGATCTAAGCAAGACACAAAAGCCCTAATCCATTCAGAAATCATCCAAGACCAATTTTTTAAAACTCATCATGAAATTGAAATTGAAAAAACGAACCTAGACCAAGCTAATCTTGTACATGAACCTTCTTAGAACTTTTTGACCAAATTGTACCTGAACCACAACCCAAACCTCATTATGACCCTTCTTCAGCAGAAAATGTGTTTGGAAATAACACAATACCAAATCCTTTCTATGAATAAACAGCCTCACCTAGCCCTTCACTACCTCCAAAATATGTCTCTTAAAACCTTCCTTTTTTTATTCAGAACCATTTGGAAGAATATAGAAATGTTATCTTTGATAGAATGCAAAAATTGGTTGCTGAGAGACTCATAACATTTGAATATGTGGTTTATGCTACTAAATGGAATCCACTCCTAACCTCTATGGTCTCAATTCTGCAGAATCTAAAATATCTCTCTTCTGAATATGTAGCCTCATCTAGTCAGAGGTAAGAACAATTAGTAGCTAAACTTGCTTCTATTGTTTCCACTCAAAGGAGCCATCCAACGTCTCTATGATAATGGAAGAAGATAATGGAAGAAGAATGTAGTAATAATATAAGATGAACAACAGATAATGGAAGAAGAAGAAACTTACCAAGATGGACAAGATGAACAGATAACGGCGGCGACGACTGAAGAAGACGGAACGAACGGCAGCGACTAAAGAAGACGGAACGAACGGCAGCGACGACTGAAGAAGACGGAAGAAATGAAGAAGACGAAGAAATGAACAAGTGAGGGCAAATATCAGATTTAGGGATTTTTAATTTAATTATAAAACAACCTACGAAAGCGCTTTTAAAAGCGCTTTCTAAGACCCATATATGAGAGCGCTTCTGAGGTAAAAAGCGCTTTCGTATGCCCCCCATATAAGAGCGCTTTAGAAAGCGCTTTCGTAGGTCCCCCTTTCAGAGCGCTTTTCAAAAGCGCTTTTATAGGGCCACCTATAAGAGCGCTTTTCAAAAGCGCTTTCGTAGGTTAGATATTTCAAATACCTATGAAAGCGCTTTCTGAAAAGCGCTTTCGTAGGAAACCCTATAAAAGCGCTTTTTTTAAGCGATTTTTTTTTAAAGGCTACGAAAGCGCTTTCTCTTAAAAGCGCTTTCGTAGATGCGCTGCCAAAAATTGTTTTTTTCGTAGTGCAACCACCCTTATTAGAAAGTGTCAACAACATAAAAGTCTTTCAAAAGAGAAGTAGAAGTAGCAAAGCTCGCTACTTAAGAAACCTTAGAAAAAAAAGTGAAATCAAGGAGAAGAAGTTAGTTGATTGCTCAACCATGTAAAGTGAAAATGAACGAAGATCATACACGAGCTTAAATAAAACAAGGACAATAGACGTTGCAAGAAAGAATGGCGATAAAAGTAAATGTGTTATTTTGCAGAGCTTTAATCGTCGAAAAGGGGAAAATGATGCTTTAGGAGCCTATTATATGCATCTTAACTATTAAAGGTCATAAGATCCACTAAACACCTCCAACGGTATAGATTTCATCGAAAACTATTCAAAATACTCAAGTACTCTAAAGAATGGGAAACATCATCACCAACTAGCGTAGAGACACACATCAATTATTTCCACCAAAGTCTTATCTACTACAGGAAATTAATTCAATGCGCATGTTCCCAATGACAACAGAGTCCATTAAATCTCTCCACCTCCATAGATCAGACAACTGAGTAGAAGCATACATGACAAACAATCATTTTACAAAGTAGAGACAAGGGCTTGGGGACAACAGTTTTTGGTCGTCCATAAGACCCAAGACGAAAGACCTAATGATAAAGCTAAGGTAGCACACACGAAGAGTAGGTGGACCTTCATTCCCCTTGAAGCTGCTAATTCCACCTTCAAGAGATTTTTTTTACAGTCCAAGTTAATGTGATAATTGGTCGCGATTCACACATCACTCCATACTTACCATTTTAAATTGTTCCCATAATTTCATAGGGAAAACACAACATTCTAAAGTATTCAAATCAATTATCTCTCTTACATCACTTTTCATTTTCTTATTGAGTAGCGTCGATATATTAATCTTACAGGTTAACTCTCCACTCCCATACTAAAAATTCTAATATACCGAAACAAGCACTACTTCAGCTTCATTAACCAACACTTAATAAAACTGAATCTATCAAAATTTGATTTTTTTTTTAATTGGAATGAGTTAAACTATTATAAAAACTTAATTTTAAAATTTTTAAAAAAGAGAATCAAGTAAATAATTTGTGATCTTCCATTATTATTCCCACTCTCTTATTCCTCAAATAATATTGGTATAGAATAATTTCTTTTTCCTCCTTTTTCTTGAGATGAGTGTGGCATAATTTTATGGCAAAGATTCAAAGACAAATGAATATGATGTGATATTTTTTTTGAGCCGAATATGATGTGAAAGTATTTAGTGCTAGAATGCATGCCTTGTTATCTTATTCTCTTATTTACTAACCAGTAATGAATTTAAAAAAAATAATAATTATGAGACTATTATTCACCATTTTTGTGGTAAGATATCATTATTTACTCCTATTTTTGTGATAAAGAATAAATTATAATTAATTTACAATGTTATAATTATAATGAGTGTGACAACATTTATACTGATAAAATTCATAAAAATATAACTAAAACGCGATTGAAACCATTATTTAAAATCTTGTGCATAGAAGAACAATAAATTTTTTTAACAATATATAAATTTTTAAATTTTACATAATTGTACAAAAGATAGAATTATTTAGAGATCCATTAGTGTATCCACTTGCATTGATTAAGCCTTTGTTAGAAGCATTCTTAACAACTTGACCTACTACTGCTTTTTCACCATGTAAGGATGAACCGGAATCACCATTAGTTTCTGTACTAGGCTCTCCTCCTGGCGACCAAATACCTGTAAGACGAATTTCATCCATAATCTTACGCAGATAAACACTTTGGTATATGAAAGGACCATTCACTTCAACCACAAAACCTCTATCTTTATTGCGACAAATTGTTGCCTCAACATATAAACCAACCGTTTTGGTAACATAAAAGTGTGCCATGGCAACCTTGAATGCAATATTAGAGTATTTCATTTTCTTCATTTGGAGAATATAAAAACCGTCACTGTTGAAACTATCACATGAAATAATAGTAGTCTCTATTGAGTAATCTTGTTCATCGTTTACGAAGGTAGAGCAGGTTCCAGAAGATTCAATTGCAGTTATTCCTCCTTGAAGACCATCATCGCCTGCACGAGTGATAGTCACTACGAAATCAGTTTTATTTTTGTATAATCCATAAAAACTTATGTTCTCAACGCTTCTGTTGTCATGTTTGTCTCGCAGTTGAAGATCAACATTTGTCTCTGGTTTCTCACCTATTTCGTATACTGCACTCCAAACCTCTGTGTTTTTATTTTCTTTATAGTGGATCATGTCAACTCTAGAGGAGTCTCCAAAGCATGCTCTCGTAGCAGTGTTGGTGCCTTCAAAAGAAGTGCAACTCTTTCTTAGGTTAGTGTTGTGGCTGTTTCCCATTGTAAATGTATTTTGAGTTTTTGGGTATATGGTTCGTGTTGAGCTATTTATAGGTATGACTAGAACCATAGATAGCAAGCCCCTTTATATAATCAACTCGAACACATATATAACTATTAGACTGAAATTAAATAATTTGGTTGCTAAAAGAAGTTATTTTACGTATTTTATCTTCTTATTTTTTTTGTTTTTTGTTTTTTGTTTTTTTTATCTTAGTAGTACTCGTATTAAGTTTTCGCAATTCTTTTGTGGATTAGTCGCGTTTTAAATATGACAAAAATAAATTGGCTACAATCCAAGAATATTTGTATGAGATGGTTAGAAATTTCTTTCAACTTAATTAATCACAAGTTTTGGGTTCAAACTCAATACTGGGTGCAATAGTGTTAAATTCTCTTGAGGGAGAGGTTTGTTGTTTATTGTGGTCATTCAGGACTCTAGCAGACAATCCTGGGCTAGTAAGAGACAAGTTACTATTGTTTTGTCAACAACAGAGTCAAAATACATCTCAGCTGCAAGTTGTTGAACACAACTACTCTGAATAAAATATCAGTTGGAAGACTATCAAATATGTAGAAGCAATATTCCAATTTTTGTGATAACATTGCTGCTATTTGTTTGATAAAGAATCATATCCAACATTCAAGAACCAAGCAAAACACATAAAAGTAAAACATCATTTTATTATAGACTATGTTCAGAAAGGTGTAATAAATATACAATTTATTGATACTGATCATCAATTGGCTGATTTATTTATCAAATCTCTTGCTATAGAAAGATTTGATTTTATTAAAAAGAATATGGACATGCATTTTGTAAAATAATAGTGTTTTCTTTTGAATGGAAAATCAGAGTCATGATGAATAGAAGCTACTGTGATCAGAAGCTGTGAACTAGCTTATGATGAATAACAGCCTCTGAAGCATCTCAGTCTCCAATGTTCAGAATATCTAAAAGGTCTTCTGACACGAACATATTAACTGTTAGGTAATAACTTTTAGATAACGAGAGTTGCTTTGAATTTTGTGTTTCAGACCTCCTTAGTCATTAAATTTTTTTCAACAATATTTGAAAATTACTTTTAACTCAATACACTCAAAAGCTCAAAACTCACACACTTCTCACACTTCACTAACACTTTCATTCTCAAACCTTCTTTGAAAAACAACCCATTTTTCAAAAAACATTCTTAGAACCCTAAACCGCGTTTCATTGGCGTCTTCTTCCCAACAATCTCCCATGGTAGTATATTCTGGAAATAGTCTTCAGATCAAACCAAGAACAATGAAGGTTAGAGAGAATGAGTTGAAGTTGATAATGGAGTAAATCGTGAATTTTGAATCCTTTAGAGTAAATGGGTATCCTCTAAGAGATTAATTTGAAGCTCAAGGTTGTATGCCTTACTTTGAAATACTCAATGGACCCACTTACCCTTATCTAGGAAAGGATTTTTGGGTTAGGGCTAAGATTTTTAATGAAGTGTCTACTGCTGCTGAAGAAAGAAAAAAAATTTCTAAAGATGAAGCAAATAAAGGAGAGAGTATAGCTGAAATGGGTCTGAAGGAGTTCAAGGAAGTTGAGATTAGATCATCTGTGATGAGAGTTGAAGTTACCATCACTCAGAGCTACATTGCTCAGCTTCTTGGTAAGGTTAATAGAGGTAGATGTTCTCTGAACATCAAAAAAGCATCCCATAATAAAATGTGATCAAGTCAAGTTTGTTTCTGAATTTTGATGACTTTGGAAAGGTGGAACATCAAGATCACTTACAGACTTCTATTCAGGATTCTTAGTGGATATATGAACCCTAGAGAAGGAAGTATTGATCAAATCTCTTAGGATCACATCCATTTAATTTGGTATATATTGAATGAAGAAAGGATCAATATGGCTGCGTATATCTTCCATCATCTATGTGAAGCTATCAGAGAAAGCTACAAGCATATGAAGAAGAATGTGCCTTACACAAGACTTTTGTCTGAACTGTTCCATTAGAGCAGACTGATAGAGAGTCTGAAGGAAGATAATGCAACACATGATCTAGAAGAGTCATGTGTAAGCATCATGTATGCCATTCTGGGAAACATGAAGATTATCAACAAGAAGGAAGTTGTCATCACAAAGACTGTTTACCTTAAATATTATCCTATCATCACAAAGATGGATAATCCAAAGGTGATTCAGCAGTACATTAACATGGCTAGAGAGTAAACTGGTGTGATTTTGAACATGGATGACATTCTAGAAGTAAAGGAAGAAAGTGTATACAAGCCTTTTCTATTAAAAGGAAAATGGATGCTTCTAATGCTCAGAAGCCACCTAAGAAGAAGGCTTTGGAATCTGTTCAAAAAGAGGTGAAGGAGTTTGTCTCTTCTATTGTCTTAATGCCTACCAAGACTACAAGTGGAGCCTCTTGGAAGATTCCTATGAAGACATCCTCTACATCTGTTAGACTAGCTCCTGCAAGGAAGCTCAGGAAGATTATTCTATCTCTTACTGATGATATTGATGAAGAAGAGGATGTGGTAATTGTTCAGCCTATGGCCAGGAAGGCCAAGGAAGGAAAGAAGATGATTCAAGACCAGATGTAGGAATCTACTAAAGAAGGAATCTATCAAGACCAGATTATTCTATCTCTTTCTTTATAACATGTCATGTATTCCCCAAACATCTGATGATTCAGATTCCTAAACCATTGCTCAGGTTCTGTAAAATTTTCAAACATCATTTGTCATAGATGTGTTGTCAAAACATGTAGTTGATGATTTTACTTCAGAACATCATTCCGAACAACAAAACCAACTACTATGTGTTTCAAAATCTGAACAACCTACTTCCTTAAACACCATGACTGATATGTATCAAATCATAGAACATATCCCTGAAGAACCTAAAACCATCCATGTTGAATTAGAAACAAACAAATATTCTCCTAACATAACTTCAAGCTATGATTCTGTTGAATCAAATTTAAATCATTTGTACATCACACCTCTTCAGGCCATCACCCTATAAACCACTTCTTCTGAGCTCACTCAGCCAGAAGAAGATCATAACCAACTTGTTCAAACTCAAAATGATCTTGAAAGAGACACTCAAGACCAAACCATCCTACCATAACTTGAACATCAAGTTCAACCACAACCTCAACCATAACCTGAACCTTAACCTCAACCTGCACCTGCACAAATCATACTAGTCCTTCCCACACCAGAAGAACAACCAAAATCCTCTCAACCACAAATATTTCAACTTCCACGATCTGATGACCCTTCTTCTCCTCCAAAGGAAGCTAATTCTGTTTCAGAATCTGGCACAATACCACTTTCTTTATCTAAATAAGTACCCCCTCACGCCCCTTCACCACCTCACCCAACTAACTATCTGAGCCCCACTTGATATCCAAGCCCAATTGGAAGAGTTTAGAATTATTATCTTTGATAGGGTAAGGAATCTGGTTATGAGAGACTCAGTGCACCCGAGTCTATTGCATATGTAGCTAAATGGGATACTCTCAGAACCTATGTGGATACAATTCTGCAGAATGTGAAGAACTTTTTTATTGATTCTATAGCCTCCTCTAGTCAGAGGCAAGAGCAATTAGAAGCTAGGTTGGCTTCTATTGCTTAAACTCAAGAGGCTATGGGATCTTAGCTATAGTCAATTGCTTCTAATAAAGAGATGGATGCTCAGTTGAAAACTGTGGTTGTAAAACAAAATGACATTGGTTTAGACATCAAAGCCATCTTGGAGCTTTTGAAGAAACCTCGGGCTTTAGGATTAGAACCTTATGTTTTTCTATTGTTTTTAAATGTTTTAAACATTATTTTTGCATTTGAAAATTCTCTTCTTGGTTTTAAAATATGCTCTCTTCAGTATATTTTCTTATTTACCTTATTTTTTATGTTTCTTTTTGTTGATGACAAAAGAGAGAGTAGGATAATAAGTATTTAAGCATTTGAATCTAATAGTTAAAGAACCTTTTTATTTCTTAAAATCTGAAGAATTAATTTTGTGTGCTTTAAAGACAAAATTTAATTAACATGGATAGAATTTCGGGGGAGCTTACAAACCTCACCCTTTTCGACTATTAGATTCTAGGGGAGATTACAAACCTCGGGCTCTGAAGTTAACTTGTTAATTAAATTAACAACCATTGTTCTTTGATACATGTGTTTGTCATGGTAAAAAATGAGGAGATTGTTGGAATAAAATTGGTTTGTACCACATCTCTATAGTTTTGATGATAACAAAGTATTTAAAGAATGGTTGGGTATACTAACATATGTTCAAGTGTGGATGACCATAGACTAAAATGTATGATATCAACTTATTTATGACACTAAAAAGAACATTTAAAGATAAGCTAAAAGATCCAGACTCTAAAGTTAGTCTAGCACAAGGATCAAGAAGACCTTGACAGGTTATTTTCAAACTCAGACGATAATTTGTCTTCTTCTGATCACATGAAGATTTAAGCAAAAATATGCACAAAATAGAATGGATGAACATATATGTTAGTACCATGGTTTTAGGATTGGCATAATTTTGATAAAACATGGTTTGCAGCATGATATTTTAGAAGATGTTCTAACAAGCTGGTCAGGTTCATTTGAAGGAAGATGTTCTACCAGATGTTGTAACATCCGGTATTAAAACATCAGTACATGTTGTCTTTTTCTTAACAGATTTAAATTGATTCTGTGAGATTCCTTTTGGTTTTATCTCACTGATTTTTTGTAGGTCAAGAATATTCAATCTGGAACATTTGATTTATCTCCAGCTGTACACAGGTTGCCAAAATTTCGCTTTGAGACAATTTAGGAAACCATATGTTTTGTTCAAAGGTTTAAGGAGATCTTTCTGCACAAATTGGTGCAGCCCTCAACATATGCAACAAGGAATATCTGGGTGAAGATTCATGGCCCATGGATTACTGAGGAGTATTAAAAGAAATTACGTAGACCTAAATTCATTAAGGACTTTGTAAAAATAAG